CAATGTCTGTCACGTGTTTGCAGGCCAGTGTGTGGGCTGAGTTGTTGCCTTGAGAATCCAAGGACCCCTTCTATCACAGGTAGATAGGACAATAAAGCTACTTGGCTGCAGCTCTGAACATTTTATTTGACTGGAGGGATAACCAAGCTCTTTGTTTTACAGCAGTGGCACAAGCATGCTTAGGAAACTGAAGAATGATGAAATGGATCTCTTCAAATCAAAATCACTCCCTGTCATCCTCAGTGAAGAGGAAATTCTGGTGGGATCAATGCCTTTCCAGAAGACATTTCATCTCAATGGTACAATATATATTGTCAGAAGTACATTATATCTATTATAGTTTGATCAGCTCAAATAATATACTTAATTTGTCCCCCAGACAAACAAGATTGTTCTTACTGGCAATTGACGAAAAAAAAGGTGTTGGTTTAAAAAAATTCTGTTACATCTACTGAGTTGTGTGCATATACTAGCTTTGTATTAATAGATCTTTACTAGTGGAATGGAATTAACTAAAAAGAGACATTTACCCTTTCTATCATTCAATAAATAGCTGACAAGCACTGCAGTGAAAAAAAAGTAACTCCTATATAGTGCCTTATTTTCCTTCAGTTAGCTGGTTTGGGTCAACTGTGGTGAAGTAGGAGTGATGGTGGGGAGGGGTGCCATTATCTAAATGGATATACATACTTGGATAGCAGACACATCAGGAAATTACACATGGCTGAGATACTAATGGCATAAACCAACCTGAGATAGAAATGCTTTAAAAAAATCATATGCCAGTAACAGGTCTGCAATCTTACCAGTCTCACAGGACTCTCTGGCTTACTCAGGGGCACAGATCTCCTTTAATTATATGTCAAATCTAAGACTAATTACAGTTACTGTAGGGAAAACTCTATTTCCATTGACAGATGATATAACCTCATCACTTGGCCTAGAAGCAGAATTCATCCAGACATACAGAGATTCATAAAAAATGTTTCTGAACTAGCAAATTATTGCCATCCCTTAGTACTGGCAGGCTAAAAACACTCAGTAACTTGTTGCACTAAAATTTCAAGGAACAGCTTGCAATGTGGAGCCCTACTCACACAGAATTTGGTCCTCAAGGCTTTATGGTTCCCGTCTGTTCAGAAGACACTTCCATTGCTCCCTCATTCCTTGTTTTCCAGAATAACAAAAAAATAGCAGTTTCGTAATTTTTTCTGTTTTTAATGGTGTCTAGTAGATGTGTTGTTTTCATTCGTAGCATATGTGATGCGGCTTTTAGAAGTAATTTATTTTTGGTGGCAAGCTGCTGATGCTTGCTCCCATGTTGGCTGTTAGCAATTAACACCTTCTGGTCCACTATGGACAATTTCCCACTTACTGCTTTTTAAGGTGCTAAAACTAATATCCACCAGCGCTACGTCCCATAGCTCCACTTCACCCATTTGAGGCCTTTCTTACTGATAGCCAAGGTTTTTCTTTTCTGTGACTAATAAAGACACATGACCCAGAAGATACAGGGAAGTATCCCCACAAGGTTTTGTTAAGCAGAATCCTCTGCTAACAAGGAGACTGAGGTGAGATAATATGTGTTAAAACCTTCTCAGAGGTGTTACCATGGACAAATACAAGTTTTGGCTGTGAAAACAACAGGCTACAAGAAGCTACCTCAAGAGAAGGAACTGAGGACATCCTCGTTACCTGTTAAATGTTTGGCAGATTTATTTTTCATCCAAAAAATTCAAGTTTAGACAGATTCTTTCACTTTCTCATGACCTGTGCCTGAGTGGTATCCATGTTTTAAGGCCCATATGAAAATCTCACAAGAACAGATCTCCTTCAAGGCGTTTGGCACTTTTTATTTCTGATCATGAGAACAAAGTTGCAATAATGATGAAAAGCCTCACATGGACTTCATTGCTAAACTATTGAGTCCTATTGAGTCTACTTTTACTCCTTGAAACTTTTCTCTTTTTGGAGGTTTGGCTTGGTTTGTTTGGGGTTTTTTGTTTGGGTTTTTGTTGGGTTTGTTTTTTGTTTTGTTTTGTTGTTTTGTTTTGTTTGTTCGTTTCGTTCATGGAAATGAAGTTTTTAACACTCAGAGATTCTGACACCTGCAGGACTGTGCCTCTCCACTATCTGATGATGTATTTATTCATTGCAAGGTGACAGTCCTAATCTTTGTATCCATTAGAGTGAGCACTGTCATAAAATTATTTTGGAAAACAATCTCAATTCACAATATAAAAATGTAGTGGATGATGTAGCCCAGCTGCTGATGCTGGGCTAATTTTAGCTGCTGGAAGCTGAGCATTCACTGCAGAGGGCTTTAGTCAGAAAAGCTCAGGAGCTCTAATCATCTGCTAATGACAATTTTCAGAGACCAGTGAAAATTCTACCTTTTCATTATCACTTGGAGTATATAAGAACAGTGAGGGACAGCTAAGTCAAAGGACATCCAGAGTAAATCAAAATTTGGAAGAAGCCTCTAAAGAAAGTAGAACTCTTTATGCCTTGAGGAAATTACATCTTCCAGTCCTACAGTGAATTCAGGAGTTTTTTGGCTACCTCAAGTGACACCTCCTTAAACAGTACATTTCTGCAAGAATCCAAGGATTAAGAAAGCAAGGAAAAAAAAAGACAAAGGGATGCAATTATTTTTTACTACAAATCAATTTTTGATGGTTTGATTTCTGAAGGAGAAAGACAATGGTTTAAAAACTGTTCAATCTTGCATAGAGAGTAGAAGAACTGTACTTGAAAAAAAAACTTTCTGATGATGTCAGCACTCAGAACAGAATCATCATTAATATTATTATGTGATTTCCATCTGTTAGCGAAGCCACATGATTAGAGCTGCTAGAGAAACTGCCTTAATAGAACAAACACAGATAATTGATTTGAAAAAATACACAAGCAAAAAGACAATGTCAGGCTCAGTCATCTGGCAACATTAAATGCCAAGTAAATAAATAGGCTGTGTAGTGCTATACCATCCAGCAGGAATGCTATGCTGAATGCCTGGATCACTGATTTCATGGCTTCTATAGTCAATTTTATTTTGGACTTTTTTTGGATGGAACCAGCTTTTTGGGTTTTTTTTGACAGCTCCTTTTCCAGACAATTCCATTGGTTGCTTTACATGTGCTCTAGTTGTTCATACAATCTGTAATCAACCACAGGCTTTTTTAAACACCTTTCCCTATTTTCTGCATAACCCATATGCTTTATCACTTAGTTCCCACATCTATCTTATTGGCAAAACAGATATTTCTGACAAACTCCCTTTAGTCCACCACTATATTTTTAAACAGAGTCAAAAAATTATTTATACAGTACCTTATTAATACATATTTATATATTAGTAAAGCAGAGTGCTTGATAGCATTTTTTTAGATAGCAATATACACCAGGCATCAAATATTATTCCAAATTAGTCTCTGTAACGCACAGCAGAATGCAGTATTTATATGGGTATACTTTTTCACAAGCCAGCATTTTCAAAAAAGTAAAATCTATTTAAGAGTCCATATATTTAATCAGTCCAGAGAAGGACATTTCTGGAACAGAAGTTGTGAATAGCTAGACAATTCTGCACTCAGAATAATTATTTTTAAACACAGTTCTCCAGAAAGCTGCTACTAATAACACATTTTAAACCTTTGGCAGAGCAAAGTATGTGGTGATGTTTCCCCCTACACAAACTGAAATACCAAGACAGTGAAACACTGCCTGAGCAATCTCTCCTTACATAAGAGCTAACATTTCCTTTGCACATCGGCTTTTACCACCTCTGAAGAATGTCAGTGGGGACCAATGTTTATAAAACATATGTTGTAATATGCTTAAGTGCTTTGTGCCGGAGTACAGACGTATATTTTCGATTGTTCATTTTTTGCACAGAAATTAAGTCCTTGCTGCTTTGGAATGCTTTTAGCATTGTATTGCAAGGTTTTACTATCAGTGAAGAACTTAAGCTTCAGGGTTGTTCTCAGAACATTAAAAGATGTAACATCAAAGAACGATCCAAAAATCATTGTTCCTGTAAGAAAACATGAGCTTTTCAGTATGCTGATAAATGTACCATGGCCTAATACATTTTGTAGTTGCTATCCTCCGCAGAGCCCTACCCTCCTTATGTCAGGAGAACACATGATATTTTTTCACTTTTATTTAGCTCCTAATCTATGTGTTCTCTAAAGGTGAATAAATAAAATTATTACAAAAAAAAAAAAAGTGGCTGAGAAATGTACTTAAATGCATTCACTTCCCACACCTCATCTGGAAACTAAATCTCAAAGAAGGGAGGGATGTGCAGGAAAGGCAGAACCCCCCATATTATATATAGACTGTCAAAGAGAGGATCATTAGATAAACAGTACCAAAGCACACTATAATGCATTTCTCATCTTGGAGGTCAGATTGGTTACACAGAAGCTGTGTCAAAGCAGTGATAAGGCCATAAAGCTGCTCTGCCCAAACATCCCCCAGAGACAGAGCACCCTGAAATCCCTCCCTTCATCTACTACTTCCCAATAGCTAAAAATTGGCTGCTATTTCTTTCTGTCTAGTAAGTGAACAACTGAATTGCCATGAGCAGCAACTAGAACTAGAAAGCTCTTCTTTGCTTGTATCTGAACTCTCCTGAGTCTTCATAAGATGTAAAGCTTACACAGAATTGTGTAAGTAATAGGAATTGTGTAATCATAATGGAAATTCTTACATTAGAAATACTAGTATTTCTAGCAAGGCAAGAACAATCAGAACTCAAAGGCTCAAAAAAAAAGCTTTTAGGTAGCGCCCCAAGTCCTTGAGATCTAATGATTCTTTCTTTGCTAATGAAGATTCGTTGGTGTTTTTTCCAGTTCATCCAATATGTATTTCTAAGTAATGTAAATATGGAACAAATGTTAGTGGGATGTGTCTAAATCATATTGCTTGTTCTTGTTCTGCAAAAGACTTTATCCCCACTGTTTTCTATAAAACAATTTCAGAGAGACACTTACCTTGTCTGACGGCTAGTGTTGTTGTGTAGACCAAGAACAGAAGGATATAATTGAGGAAGCTCTGAAAAACAGGTGTGTTGGCATGGAAGTCTTCTGACAGATACTTGCTTGTGAGACCAATGCCACAGATAAGGAGGGAGAGTACCTGGCCAAGTGCCACAGACAGCAAGAGATCCCTGAAAGGAATGAGAATAACAGACATAAAACATTCAGCCTCCTCACTAAGGAGGAAATGCTCATCCTCCTCCAGGAATCATGTTCAACATTTCTGGGACATGGAAGAAACATGATGCTTCAGTCAACAAGGGGACCTGCTGGGTATAGCCTACATAACATTTCCATTATTTCTGCTCTTATCACGAGCATAAACATTGCACCAACACAGTCACTTTTAATCACATGTTAAACAACAGCAGATGGCAGATCCCTGCCATTTAATTTTGCATTTCACATTTGACAAAGGAAAAATGGTAGTTTAAATCAACCAAAATGCAGTACTGCTTCCCTTGAGCATCCTCCTTAGCAGAATGACCCAGGAGTATCATTCAGAGAGTGGAAAACAGTGCTTTCAGGACTTAGCAGCCAAAGAGAAAAAGAAGATAAAGGATCATGTTTCATCAGCAAGATGAATATACATTTCATCATATAAACTATTTTTCCCATCTACTGCGCAAATATATTTATATTGTCTTTCATCTTTCCAACTGCTTACTTTCTCTTCTGCTTGATGGGAACAGAAGATTACAATTTTCCCCTTCCTGTCTCCTTCTGGTTGTTAGAAATATACTTTCTGATTAGTCTTTTTGCTTTAATCTATTTTTCTTATTTTTCATCTCCAGTATCTTCTGCATTCTCCTACTACAATCCCATTCTCTTTCCCCAAAGGTCTCTAAATAGAATAGTTTCTTCTTTTGTGCATGTTCTCTGTTTTCCTATAATTGTCCCTTTACTGCAGAAATGTCTATATCTGAAAGACATTTTCCCTCCAAACACCTCCATTTATTTTACTCTTCTTGTAGAATTTATTATCTAACCACACAGCCAAACTGAGTCCAAACAATCCTCCTTTTCCAAATTTTGTCACAGGGTCTCCTATGCCCACAACACAGGAATTTCTGTATTTTTTTTAATTACCCTTAAGAGCTTTCCCAGCTCCCCCCATGTGTCAGTACTCTCATGCTGACCCAGCCTGCTCTACGGCTACACCTTCCCATGCAGAAGAATGAAATGCAAAAGTCTTGGTCTGGTAGAGAAGCAAGCAAAAACAATGCCAGCGGAAGCAAAAGGGCATCCAGAGGCTGTCTGAGCCCTGCCCAATGCTGCTATTGCTGTCACCAGCCCCCAGAAAAGAGGGGCTGAGCTGTCTAGGGGAAGACATGAAGGAGAGGAGCATGTTCTGCAATGTCTCATTTGGGCCTGGAATGAGAAAAAGGAAATAGGCAATCCTAGGGGAGCGGAGGAAGGAGGGCAGCACCCTGCTCAGCTATAGCAGTATTTCATGTGTGCTCTCTGCCAGACACTTAAAACAAATATTGCTTCAAGGCTGCTTTGCTTTCCCTGACAGATTTCCCTGACCTCGGCTCTGTGTGTTTGGCAGTGATGAGCATCTGTGCTCCCACAACTTGGTAAACTCAAGTGTCAAATTTGTTTCCCTTTTTCTCATAAACAATCCTCCCACTAACGTGTCACAGTGTCAGTCATGGCGTGATTTAACCAAAGAGACACTGGAAAGCACAGGAGGCTGGGTAGTTATATTCAGCTAACATACCTCACTGACAAACAGCCTGACACACGGAGTAAAGAACAAACTTTATTGTGCTAAACTCTGTGCTTTCATGGGAGCTGCTGGATAAGTAGCAAGTAAGACTCTACTACTGCTACCTCTGCTTTCACATTACTTACTCTACTGTGAAACACAACCATGGGAAACAAACACACTCAACAGAGGTGACATCCAAGACCATGATGCAAATGCTGCCTACACTATTGATCCTTAGTTCCTGCTGTCACCTGCTCTGCTGGTGTCATTGACATGGAATAGGAAATTTGAATAGTGACTGCAATTTAAATCCACATATTTATCTTGCACATTTGTTTACAGTTCTTCATTTAGCTGGATATTGTTTCCTACATCCTTCTGTAATTAAGTTTCATGCAGGGTTGTCCTCTTGCCTACAGCCATTTCTATAGTTACATTTCATTAGTAAATTAGATGTTTGCAAATCGGTTTCCCACTTTACATGAAGTGCAGGTGTGTCCCTGTATCTTGGCTGTGCCTGTGAGTGGTAGTTGTATTACATTCATTGTGGGACTGCACCTGCTCTGAAGAGAAGCATCTTGGATCCTACTTAGATTTACATCTAAGATTTACATCTACAAAGCTAAACACACCCTCTCTCAGGAAAGGATTCTCACAATAACATATTTTTTGCTCCCTAGGGTTGTTAGCTATTAGGAACCACACTAATCATTACAGTTTTTCAGACTGGTGGGAAGATTGATGACGTCTTATGAAAGGCACATTTTTTAACTAAGCTCTCTATATTCAGGTGTGTCACAAGGCCTAACCAGTCTGTACTGACAATTGTATTAAAAATCCAACCAACAAAACCTGAAAAACACCAGGTAAATTTCAAAGCTGTGTTTGATAGCTGTAGCCCTCTCTGGTATATATTTTGATTCTCATTGCTGTTTTGCAATTTATAAAACAACCATATTTTTTCATAGTTGATTCTTTGCCAAGTCATTCAACCACATCTACAAGTGGCGGTTTTCCTAAAGAGTCGATGTCTACAGCATACACACACACACACAGAGCCTGTCCTCAGCTTCTGTATTTTACACTTCATAAACTTATAAACAAGAAGGTAATTCAAATGTTGTGGTCCTATTCCTAAAGTCATTGAGAACGCCTTTTTATTTTTTTTTTCTGTCAATCACAAAATACGTCCAAAAATCCACTTGCTATTGTCTTATTGAAGTCATCAATGAACACAAATGGTAATTGGAGTTCACTAAATATAGACATAGACAAAAATCAAGACTGTGAACCGAGAAACCTCCAAGTCTGTAGGTAAAGGTTGAATCAATATAATCTCTGTAATTGGAAAGAGCTCTTGAGAAAAATGACAAAAATAATATAAAACTGCAAAAAACTATTATGTGGGAGTCCAAGTGGAAGCAGTACCATCAATGTCACTGTCTTTCAAAACACTGACTACATAAATGATATTGAGTACATACACACTGCTTGTCTCTGATTTTTGCACACATTTGGTATTTCTAAATATATAAGAAAACTCATTCTGAAATCAAGCTGTTGTGCTTCTCTTCCAGTCAGGACTTAGTTAAACATTTCACAGTTGATGGATGATACAGAAAGATACAAATGTTTTATTCTTATTTCTTCAGTACAAAGAGTAGCATGTCAGATGTTTAGGCAGAACTAATTCAAGTGCCTGTGAAACACTCAGACTTGAAGCAAAGATGATCTGTTTTGTAAAATTTAACCACTCCTAAGACGCCCACATTAAACTCTCCTGCCACACCAATAATATGCCCATCACAGACATGAATGACATGCAGTGGCACAGAAGATTTTGCGTCCTCCCTTCTGTCACCAATGTAGGCTGTGACACACTAACCATTACCATGGAAAATAGCAATGAAATGAAAAGTAAGAGAAAGCAAATCATGAGATCAATAAAATGTTCATTTTTGCCTTGGATGAATGGAAGAGAACAACTCATCTCTCTCCAAACAGAGAAGTGGAAACAGATCCTAAATGACTTGTTTACATTGGTGACAATGTCAGCGGCAATATAGAAAAATAAATTTTTTTGATAAACCTAATAACCAATGTAAGATACCTGAAATTTACAAAAAATTCTAGTAACATTAACTGCATTTAATTTTTTTTCCTGCAAACAATGATCTAATAACACAAGAGTCTTAACTCCTGAGCCTTTAATAACCAGATAAGAATAATAACATACCCATTCTTTTTTAAGAAGAAGCAGCAAGCAAACACTGAAAAGAAGATTTCAATGGCTGTGAAAAACCTACTATTTCCTTTAGACAAAGTAAAAAGACACTAAATCAGTGCTGTCATCTCTGGCACTCATAAGCATCTTCCCCAAAAATCATAATACTGTTGAAATATGCAACATGGCTCCTATCTGCAACACTTTCTGTGCTGCTTTTCATATGCTCCACCACTCAAAGACTGGCACAAAGGATGATTTCTTCCCTAAGCCTTTGGTCTATCGTGCTGGCTTCAGTAGCACATTCATTCACTGTGGAAGCAAAATTCATTCATATCTTGAAGAAAGGCTGTGTAGTTTGATGGCCTTCAAACAGTACACCAAAAAGAGAGTCTCACTACAATAAGCACTATAAAAGTGTAGGTTTCTGCCTTTCAGGATCCAATTTCTCTTTAGCTGAGTACCATTCTATTTCTCTACTTGCATTCTATTTAAATCAAAATAAAGCAATTCTTCAAAAATTCCATTTTCCCTCACTAACACCAACAGTACTTTCTCAAACTAAGTTAAAACAGGGAAAGATCTTCAGTTTGTAGTTAAACTTTGATCTCATCAATGCATAGAATCATTGAATCATTTAGGCTGGAAGAGGTCATTTAGTCCAACCATTAACCTAGGATCAGATGGGGATTTTGAAGTGAGAAGTAGGTCAGAATTACTCCTAAACCTCCAGGTGTCATGTTGCTAAGTGGGTTTTTCACAGCCTACAAATAGAATTTTAAAAAATGTTTCTTTATTGTCTCTTTAGAACAGGAGCCAGAAGACAAAGCCTCATCTTTACATTGGAAGCCATTTAATTCTGTTTAAATGTCTGGGCTGGTAGCTGCTATGCATCCTTTTTACATGCTCCTCCAGGCTTATGGAAATTTCTGTCACTTGAGTATCTCCTTCTTTATCAGCCATGACAAAGCCAAACTTCTGAAGGCAGACATTCTCATATCAAAGAACTCTGAAGCTAGTGCTTGGTTCCTTGCACATATACACACTGGTGTAATAAAGTGTACTAAACAGGTATCTGCAGGTCATCCTGTAATTATGTTTCATGAAGTTAAAACATTTAGCTCTGAATACTAGTTCATTCCCAAATCCCCCCCAGAACATAGAAACACTCTTTACAACACAAAAGTGCAGTG